TTATTTATCGTAATGATAGCTTAAAAGAAAAAAATATGATTATGCTTTCTTATATAAAATGGATATCAAAAGTGTAGGTACTCTTACAATTTTCCATAAAATTTAATGTTATATAAAACTAATATATAAGAACTGGGATATGTTACATTATTTGAAACTTTTTGTTATGAAATAGCATAATCAATTTTTAAAACATTTGTATATGTGATATAAATTTTATTTTGTAAAATCTACAATAAAAAAACGACTAAAATTTACTTCAGAAAAGTCTCCGTACACTTAAAAAAAGCAACCTAGTTTTAACTACTGAATTTTATTCCTAATTTAGTACTTAGTAGGATATCCTTTAGTGTCATCAACAGTTTTAAACTTCTAGACATATATCTCCCGGTTTTTTTTTGTAATTTTACCATAGATGTTCCACCCTTCCTATTGGATTAATGTTTTTAGTTCACATTTTTTGAATTTATCATATTTTCAGACACTAACTTTTTCTCTCTAAACATATTCTATTGGATTTAAGTAAGATACTTGAGGTGATGTTTCTAGATCTCGGAGATAATCATAGTGACATCAGGTAAATAAAGTCATCTCTAATACCCACATTTTGCTTGGACAATTTTAAACTGTTCTTTAAAATATTTAAATAAAGTTCATGATTCCCAATGCCATTAATAAATACCATATTTCCTAATCCTGAAGCTGACATACACCTTCACACACGAACAGCTCCACCTCCATGATTTACAGTTCCAATTAAATTCTTCGAGATAAGTTCCCTACAGTGTTTCTTCTCCATACTATTATATTCCGTCAGAGCCCAAAATGTTGAATTTGCTTTTTTTTTCTGTAAATCGAAAATTATTCCGGCATGTTTCTCTCATAATCATTTTCCATGGATTTAGTAAGAGAAAGTCTAAGCCTTCTATTTTTCGTACTTACAAACAATTTTGTTCAAGCAAAACGCCCACATAACTGGCTGATATAAGTACTTTTCGAACAGTTTCAGATGAAAATGAGATAAAAAAATGTTTTAGCTTATTCTATTTAAACTTTTGTAGCACCCACACGGGGATTTTTGATTACTTTTCTAACATTAAATCGCTGGTCACGTTGAGTTAACTCTTTTGGACGTCATTTTCTTACTTTGTTTTTGATTTTGTTTTCTTGTTTAAAACGCTTTTTCCCATACTGAATAATCGCATAAGGAGCATCATTGCATTAAGGAGCCAATGCTTCGAACTGATTTATCTCAATTGAAGAGAAAAATAATCAATTTTCGAACGCTTTTCGATTTTTTCTTACGACTACGAGCCATTTTTAACACAATAAAATTAGATAAATACAAAAGAATGGAATAATATAACGAAAACAAGCAAACATTTAATTAAACTATGTTCTGTATGTTGCCGCAAAAAAGATATGAAAAAGAAGCAAATTCATAAAAAACTGTTTCGGCCTTCTCTAAATTTTGTGGCATGTTTTATCTCCATCTTACTGTCTTTTAATTCTTTTAAAAAAAAACTGAATAATTAAAATAAATAAATAAATCTCATGGGAATTATATAAAATGAAACTGGATTTTATATTCCAATTTAAATTTTAGGCTAAAATAGGGTTTTCACAACTTTTTTTAAGTATACAAAAGCGCATTTAAGAAACAGTACATATAAATATTCTCGTAAACCTTCCCATATATGATTTGGAATAAATTCCCTGAAGGGGAACATGTAAACTTGTTTAATGAATTACTTTACCATAATTTACTTCAAATTTACACGTAATTTAAAATTCTACCATGCATTCATAATACTTACTAATTTGAAACGTCGGGAAATATTTTTCATTAAAGACCTCAAAAAGAATACAGTTTAAGTGATACCGTGAATTCCCATTATTTATTGAGTATCGTCATTGACTCTCGAATATTTCAAGCAAATGCATGGATATTTGTATTTATTCGTGTGAAAAATTTCAAGTTTCGTTATTGTGTCATTATTTGTTTCCTATTTATACGACTTGTTTTAGTTTTTTAGTTGTGAAAAAACGATAAAATAGTTATTTTATTATCCTTCAGGGTATTCTTATATTCAAAAGAATAATCTAAATGCACGGTTTACGCATACCTAATTATTTTGCAACCTATTTTTATTTGAAGTCACCAGAGGTATTTTTAAATTTGGCTTTTAGTTGTAACGTCTTAATAATATATTAAAATCCCCATAATTAAAATGTTTACAGCAATTATTTTCAGATCCTGATTCATTGTCATTAAAGTTTTATTTCCCCAGTTTCTTATTTATTATCTGCCTCTTTATCTAATATTTAGTCATTTGAAAAACTTCCATTGCTAGCTTAAGCCAAACCAAAGTATTTGTTTTCGTCCCTACAGCCAGTTTAATTTAACTTTGACAAATAGCGTCTAAATGTTTCGGAAAGAATCATAATTTATTGTAAGAGTCTCCATCTGACATACTTTGTGATAGTCAAATCTGAAATCCCGGAAATTATTATACGAATTGTTGGATAATTATGATGTAAAAAAAATAATACTATTAAATGGTGAAGAAGCGATAGAGGACACTTTTTTTATTTTAGAGGTATCTATATAAAGTAAAATACGTTTAACGCTTAAGACGAAATATTCATTAACACGAAAAAATGCAACGGTCCCGAAAAAGTACTATGTATTTTAATGCACTTTTTCCCTTAACACGAAACGAAAATCGCTTAAAACGAAAGGCTTTCATTTCTGAGAATAAACAAAATATGGAATACGTCAGCCCGATTTGCTGTTCCATTGTATTATTGGATGAATTCATTGCAACAGATGATGATAATGTGTATACAGTCCGAATAATGGCAGACAAAAGACATTTTAAAGTTTGTTCAAAGCTCAAAAAATCGATGTAGATTTGGAGGAAGCAAATGAAATGAATAATGCAACTCCTGTTCCCACGTCATCCTAAATCAGGAGTATCATGAAAAGTTCGCACATTTAATCAGACAAAAATTCCAAAGTTGAAAGGGATAACAAAAGGAGCGACATCGAACAATTTGTTGACAATTTGATGCTAGAAAAAAAATGCAATGAAAAATATTATGTTTTATCAATGCTTTGTTTATCAAATAACTTGAAAAGTATGTATTAAATTTCTTTAAGTTTTTGTGAATACTTTTGCTTCATTGATTTTTATTAAAGATATCCATATATCCAGCAAAAAAAGAAACTAGTAATTTTAATTTCGTTAATATATGGTTTTATTTGCAGTATTATTTAACACGAAATTCTTTAAATACGAAAAATTATTTCAGTCTCTTCTGTTTCCTGTTAAGCGATTTTCACTATATATAAAGGAGAACAGCGACTCTCTCATCACGAATTCCTGAAACTGGTGTACAGACATAGAATTTATGTAGCATGTTTCTTTTGTTGAGTTGATTGATTGATTGAACATTAACGTCACGCTGTTCAGCTACACGAGGTGTTTTGACGACAGACCACGTCATTTTGAACCATGGTCAAGTGACGTGGACGACACCTGAGCTGCCACCCCTCTCCTAACTACCACACCACACCAACGAGAGGACGTTTCAGCTCTCGACAGATTTAAAGTGCATCGCTGCCCTACAGGTGGTACTGGGGTACCTTTAGTGGTACTGGGATTGAACTCGTGACAAGGCAAGCCACGGTCCGATACCTATACCCCTCGGCTACCACGGGCTTCTTTTGTTGAGTAGAGGTCTGCTAGAAAGGAATTTTTCGACAATCGAACCTGAAAGGATGTCCTATAAGGATGTGGATAAATATTTTTGTATTTGAATTATTAAATGAACATACTTTAAATTTGGTAGGTATCTTCTTTTAGTAACTATGCTTATGTGTGTATGTAAAGTTAGCGCCCCCTTTGGTAAGACTGTAAATATCAAGTTTTAATTGCATCCCAGTTTGAAAAACATATATGTTCAGTGTTCTTTGAACAAATTAACCCCCAACTCACACCCCTTCAAATTCAAACACACAGTCACTGTTCAGACATCATAAAACAGTTTCATGTGGAAAAAAAATTTAAATTACATAATAACAAGACCTGTTTTTCAAAATCTATAGCTTGATCTTGGGAAAAAAAAGATAAAATAAACTTAGTTTACTGAACCTAAGAATGGTTTCATGTTAAGGGATTTCTTTTGAACTGCTTAAAATGCCTACGCATTTTAACATGATGTATGCGATTTTTAAATATAAAACTCTTCATATTTTATTTAATCCTTGTATCTAATGCATTTAAAATATCTTCTAAAATTTCTTTCGGTGGACATGGTGATTTGAAAGCTGAGTAGCAAAAACCATTTCGCGAATTTCATTTTGAAAACTTCTTTCTATCCTCTAATAAAATAAGTTTTTGAAAAAATGCGAGTAAAAAGATTAAAAAAGAAAATTATGTTTTCTTTGCTCCTTCTACAAATTTTTCATCTTCCTTTCTTAGAAATTTCTCAGGTATTTTGAGAAATATCTCTTTTTTTATATATTTATATATATATATATAATGAAAAATGACACAAAATACATTTTTGTCTTTTATTGTCTGGTTCTTTTTGCTTTTGCTTTTTTTCTGAAAAATAAATTAAATTTCTTAGAATTTTTCGTAGTGACTTGCAAAATTTTCGTGTTATCTATTTTGTAAAATTATTTTAATATAATTTTTCGAAAATTAGGAACTTTTATTAAAAATTTTTGGTTACATTTTTTTATGGTAAATAAGATCTAGTAAACCTATATGCTTATGCAGGTAGTATCGATTTAATTTTCAATTGTCCGAAATTATCAGATTTCATTCCTCTCATAGCAGTCTATGTGTTACTATTTTTAGAAAAGTAAGCTAATTATTAGCAATGCTAAGTTTACATAAAAAAGCTTTTTAGATTTTGGTTTTGTTTGGATAAGATTAAATAATCCTAAGTGTTAATAAACTTAATATAATTAACTCTTTTGCTGCCCAGCCAGTATGGTGGTTAGGACTCTCGGCTTATAACCGAGTGGGTTCGGGCTCAAATTCCGAGAAGGGCATGGTTGCATTTTCTTCGGGGGAAAAAAACCGCTTCGCCTGTAATGGATTCCCGTCGCAAATGGAAAGAAGCGCATTCCTTCTTGTTATATGCAGGGATCGTCATCATCTGTAATAAATGTGTATATTCTTCTGTTCGTATAATATGTCTCTGTTCTTTCACTTGTATTTCATATGTATCCCAGGGTAGAAAAGACACGACAATAACAGTTAACCCAGTGCTTCTCAAAGATTCAATATTCGTGATCCAATATTCAATCATAATTTTCATCGCACCCCCTTCATGCAATAACAATGCATTGAATTCAATAATACTATACCTTGGCGCTAGAACTGCAATACGACTTTAACCTCATTGAGGTCCACCGGCGTATATAAACGTTTCACTCAGCCAAAGCGTTTATTTTCCTGGACGTATATATACGTCTTTCCGAAGTAGGAACTTTTCTGTATACTGCTATCCATAAATTATTCCGAAGGTTTTGGGATGCAATAAAAGGACCTTGACAATGTTTGCAATGGATTTACTTATTTCAGGTTATTTGCTTCTTTTTTATTCTTTCCTCCACCCCCAATACATCACATACGCGCGCCTACGTGGAAAACTGTTCGGATTTAGGAGCGAATCACTTAACTTTTAATCGGCAATCAAGGGATTAATTATAAACCGTAAAAAATATCAAAATAATTCTTAACTTTTGTATATAGTTTTATATGTGACAATCCCATAGGGCCAATGGCTTTTATTAAAATTGTTCTTCACTTAGTATTGCTAAGTTAAAATTATAAAATACATTGTGTAGCACTGATACATTTATAAATAATATATCAGTGTAAATGTGTATTTTATTTTATCAGAATGTATTTTGTTTGATTACTGTTAATTAATTAATATTTTTTAAATAATTATCTTCTGTTTTCAAATTTTCAAAATGTTCAAGCCCCCCAAGGGGGGCGTGCCCCACAGTTTGAGAAACACTGAGTTAACCCTTTTCCATCATAATCGGTTTTTTCCCCCTTAGGAATGATTCCAATTTTATGTAGCTTAATTAGAATAATTGAAATCATTATGTGTCTTATGCTTTTTTACGGCAGCTGTCTCGCGAACTGTTCTCCAGTCATAAGTTTGAGTTCGTGCTCCACAGAAGACCCCCCACCCTCTCTGTATAACAGTTATTGCGCACAAAATATGTTGTGGCTCACATCCTACAGATTGGTGAGGTATGAAATTTAAAGTGGGAAGCCACTTGATGTGTCATTCGCGTGGTCATGGGTTAAAATTACGAAGTGGCAACGACAGTTGAGTATAGTCATTGTTACGAGCTCAAAACAAGCGTTGTTGATTCGGGGGTTCAATTTCTAGTACCACTGAAGGTTCGTTGTACAGAGAAGCTAATTCATAGTGTGACATATCGGAAAAATTGATGAGTAGGGTGAGACTTAACACCTTCGCAACGGGCGCTGCAAATATGCATTCATCACGGACGCACCTCATAGCCGGGTGGTGCAAATATGCATTTTAGAAAGACGCTCTGTTAGGCCGGGTGATGCATATATGACTTTTCAGCTGGAAGGTTTTTTAATTTCCACTAGGTGGAACCCTATGTTAATTATATTGAAACTGAACGTAGCTACAGTAACCTGACCTTCAGTTTGTTTATATTCTTAATGGATTTGATATTTTGCTCATCAGCTGTGGCGGGGGAGGGAATAATCGAAATTGTCAACAAATAGCTCTTAAAATTTCCACTTGATATAAAAATTGAAGTTTTTAATAACTGTCCCAATGCTTTTGTATTATCTTTTTCTTAACAGTGTGGAGTGTTTTAGGGTTTTAGCGTCAGTTCTGTTACAGTTTTTGTTGCTTTCGGATATATTTCGCGTACTTTTCTTATTTCAAAAGCATTGACTTCTGGTTATTGTTTGATTGTTTTGATAGCATTTTCCTAACCTTAATATGAACAAAAATGATGAAAAAAGTCAAAGTATATAGTCACAAACCGTGTGTAAACAAAAAAATATAAAAAACGCAACAAACATTTTATGCTTACAAATCATACAATGTAGGACTTTGCGTTTCTCTATGCTTCGAGATTTTCCACACTCAATCTTCATTTTAATTTTGCCATTTCTTTTTACAAATAATCTTTGTCATTAATTTGAAAGTATATTAATGTGTTTTGTCAATCAAAATTTTTGAAAAAAATTGAATAGTGCTTACGAAATTTATTTACAAAGTTGTCATATTTTTTTATATATATAATTTCATGTAAGTGTAAGGAAAATCGTTATTACATTCTAGTTTTAATGTAACTGACAACTTGTGTAATAATCTTACGGGGTACCAAAAATTACGACGTTAGGACTGAAATTTTGTTATTTATGTTTTTTTTCTTAAGTTAGACTTAGCCATGAAAATGCCCCATCCTGAAGTGCAAGTCCTTTCGCATTCAACCGGTCGCTAGCAAGCTTCTCATAGCAAATCGCCCCGTCCTGAAGATGTTAAGGAATCAAATTATGTATTTATACGTCTACAGCTATTAATTACAATATTTACATTTAGAGATACACGTTATTCGAACTGTTGAGCGTTTTACTATTGTCAAACTATTGAACGTTTTACTATTGTCAAACTATTGAGCAAATTTATTGGTGAAGGAGAAGGGGAAAAGAGACAAAAATCGGTCTGCTTCTTTGCTGTCTACATATGTCAGCTATTTCACGCGAGCCGCATACATACGTTAGTTATTTCATGCGGGCCACAACGTAAGGATAAATGGGGGGGGATTCTCATTACTTGACCGAGGTGTCAAAGTACGATATCAATCGCCAATATCTCCCGTTTTAGTTTTAAAACTCAACTTTAATAAAAATTTATCAGTCTTACTTTTTGACGATTATATGTATATATTCAAAGAATAAATATGCAACATATAGATGCAAATCTTTCAAAAACTATTTAAAACCTACTTTTCGAAAATCAAGATACAACTTTTTCACTGGAATATAATTCTTATAGATTAGGATTATTTAACCTTTCAGGTTCGATGTCCACAATTAATAAATTCACAATGATTCGCGGGCCACACACCTGTGAAAAATATAATAGTCAGGAAATTTATATAATAAAAGAGACCTTTGTCTTGCAAGACTACAACTGATTCTAAGGGGAAAATGGTGTTTACATATTTGTATATTCATATATATCGGTTTCAAAAATGTTAAATGAAGCCAAATTAAAATAATTTGCAAGCATGTTAAAGATAAGATCCAGCTTTTTTTTCCCGAAAATTTCGCAGAATTTATGCATAGTCAGATTTTGATATATTTAAAATTATTTAAGATACAGTAAAGGAAAATGCCTTCTTTTTAAGTATTTTTTTCATCAGATATAGATATGAAACATATCAGTTGTTTTAAACATCAATAATAGAAGAAAAAAGTGACGATTCTTACGGCAAAAAAAGCACAGACAACATTTTTTTTTTAATTACTTCAAAATCAAATAAGGGGACATTAAAAGGCAATCAGCGGGCTTTCATAGCCTGCGGTGTAAGGGTTGAAGACCCTTATTTTCGGCCATGAGTTTGAAACGATAGATATGATAATGAAGTAGGAATATTTTGAATTTGCGCAGTTGAACGAAAAAAAAAAGATTCTCGTAATCTCTGAAGACGAGAATGAAGACAAAAGTCAGCATATACCCATGAATAAAACAGAGAGTAAGGAATACAGATGAGAGCTTCGTCTGTAAGATTGCTGCTTTCATAACTTTTTCACAAAGAAACTCAGTTCCAACGAAACATGTCATATTCAATGTTATTTGACAGGTTGCTATCCGAAGAACATACAAGCTGTTACAAAAACATCAGACATCCATTTTTAAAAAGTACGCGTATTAAAAATAAAACAATATTACAATACTATTTTATAAAATATTTTTGAAAGGAATATTTTCCTTTATTATTTAAGGTTAAAACTCCTTCAGCTTGATATCGTATAACAGTACTATTATAGAAGACGTAATACGAAACGTTTTTATAACATGAAAAATGGATAAAATCGGATACAAAACGTTTTATAATTATTTATGGGTTGAGTATATATATAGAGGGAGCCAAGTTAGAGCATGATGTTCACAGTAAAACACTCTTCTATCTGAAAATCGTTTTAAATTGGGTCCAACTATTTAACATTACGCGAAAAAGGGGTCTCAGGGGTGTTAAATTTTTCTAGAGGTCTGAAAATATAAACAATTTTCAAACAAGTATAATTCTTTTAAATTTAAATTAAATGATTCGAATCTTTTACACATTATTTATAAAAGAATGGGGCTTCAGAAAAGCATAAAATGTTTAAAATATAATAATAATTTTAAAAATCATAAGCACATGAATATTCTATTATAAATATTAAGTATTTTTTGCGTTGCGCACGCTATTTTCTAAAATAGTAGCCTCTGATGTATAAGACTTTACAGAATAATAAAAGGCATCATTCTCCTTAAGCCCTACCTAATTTTAGTATTATATATCTTTTGTAATTCAAAATATTTGTAAAACTTTGCAATTTTTTAATCATTTTTAAAAAATGTATATTTTATTTATTAAAATATGTAAATTATTATTCTATTTATATAAAAATAGCTACAGTGTAAAGAGAATACCTTTAAGTTTATTAATCAACTTATAGCTAGTAATTAAAGCTACTATTTTAGAAAATAGCATGCGCAACGTAAAACTTAATAAATATTTCTTATAGAAAAGTTTATTATTTTCATCTGCTTATAATTTTAAAAATTATGTTTATATTTTAAACATTTTATACTTTTCTGAAGCCCCATTCTTTTATAAATATAATGTGTACAAGATTCAAATTATTTAATTTAAATTTAAAAGAATTATACCAGTTTGAAAATTGTTTAAATTTTCAGACCTCTAGAAAAATTTAACACCCCTGAGAACCCTTAGAAAAGTTCCAATGCAACATTTTATCTTCATTT